TAGAGACGAAGTAGTGCAACGGTGAACAATCGCGGACGCTTACTGTTATACGCCTCCTATATTGACACGTGTCTAAAGTTTCCGATCGTGCCCAACAGGTGGCGCGCCTGGCCGGCGTGCTGGTCAAGCACGGCGTGCAGAAGGGAGACAGAGTGCTCATCTACATGCCCATGATTCCTGAAGCCGTCATCACGATGCTGGCGTGCGCTCGCATCGGCGCCATTCATTCGCTCGTGTTTGGCGGCTTCGCTGCTCGTGAGGTTGCTGTGCGCTTGAACCACGCGAAGGTATGCTCGAGTGTCGACCGTGCAGCTGTGCTACGGTCATGTATACCACCGATCAGGGGAACACACAGCCTCACATACGATCTCTCGGTTAATTTTAATTGTAAAATTAAGTTTATAATAAAGATATTATATATTATAAAATTTTATTTATTTCGTTCGTATATTTTGGTATAGTTTTTTTATTCAAGCGTTTAATTGTGCTCGAATTAGGGGTAATTTTGTATTACTTATTCTGCGGTTGCGTGGTTATAGATATATTATCACTAAAAACTCGAATAGAGCATTAAACTTAACACGTGAAATCGACATGGCAAACAATTCACATTCATACATTTGGTTCCTGGCTATTTTGTCTATAAGGTTCATTTGTGGTCTCTGATTAACAGTTTTTTGTATTTAAATGTGTCAGTAATACGATTTGCTCGATATATTAGTGGACAGGAATACGAATGGAATACATGGACAGGAATACGAATGTCACAGATGTTTATTTTTTCCATCGATGCAGGCGGTAGTTGTAGTATCAGCAAACTGTGGCGTGGAACCAAGTAGAATTGTCAATTATAAGTCGATAGTCGACGAGGCCATAGAAATCTCAGACCACAAGCCCGACAAGTGCATTATCTTCAACAGGCCAGAGATGGTGAGTAGGTGTACCTCATGTAGGGTGTGTGCAAGCATTAACATTTCCAGCTGCAAGTATTCCTGTTTTAAATCTGATTTATTTATACTGGCTGCTCACGCACGAGAGCACCGCGACCGAGTCGCATTCGTCTTTTGCATTTCCACTGATACGAATGAACTCTCTTGCATTGTGCGCGAAACATTGTTCGTGAATTTCAGGAGGACGCCCCGCTGATACCCGGACGCGACCTCTCCTGGGAAGAGGAGATGGAGAAGGCGCGGCACCACGATTGCATTCCTGTTCTTGCCACCGATCCCATCTACATCCTGTATACGTCTGGAACCACAGGAACACCGAAGGTGTGATCCTGCGATCTTCTACAACATCTGATGTTCTTAATCGATATTCGTCGAATACCTGTGTTGCCAGTCTCTATACATGTGGAAAGAACCAGAACATGCATGCTGTACATGGTAATGTCGTTTCTGTTCACAGCAGAGCATAGGAGGTTGAAGTAGCTTCTATTAAAATTCCAATCTATGTTCATCTTTGTTAAAAACTGTCCACAGAGTAGCACCGGTCTGGATAACGTACACCCTGTTAATAATACTCGTAGGTAAAATGTTTGCTCCTGTTGCGTAGTTGGTAGCAAGAGTGCAAGATTACGTTGTCGATTCGTGACTTTGCGTGCGCATGAGCACAAAACTGTAGCGTACGCCATCGTTGCTCGTCGTTTAGGCTGTGGTAAGGCCAAGTGGTGACCACGCTGTTGTGCTAAACTGGAGCATGGAAGCGCTGTATGGAATCAAGCCTCATGAAGTGTGGTGGGCAAACTCGGACTTGGGCTGGGTTGTCGGCCATTCGTACATTTGCTACGCTCCTCTGCTGGCTGGTAACACAACGGTAATTTACGAGGTAAGTTGCAATCTGCATCCGTTTAAGACGACACAGTTTCACTGCATTTCAGTGTTCTGCCTACGGTAGATAATCAAGAATCGTTTGACTCCACCATTTCAAATTGCATGCAGTTTGTTACTCCTATGGAGAGTTTGAACGTCCTATTTTGGAGGCCCCCAGTTCGATCGTAGCTTTCTTTGGAGCCACCCATTTTTTTGAAAAATGGAAATGGGACACCAAGTAAATTCAGGTTCAATGATTTTTTGCTCAATTCTGGATGGGAAGAATATATAGACTGGGCCCAAACATATCACATGGTATTGGATATTTTTGTAAAATTAATGCATATAGGTAGATTTGGCAATTTCAACTAATACGCATTCAGTGTCGGTGCCTACGCCGTCAACGATAACTCAAGAACCGTTTGACCCACATGTTCAAATTGAATACAGTTAACTCCCTTAAATGGGAGAGCAATGTTGAACTTCCTATTTGGAGGTGCACTGCGCAGTGAACCCATATTTCGCTAGCCACGCCCACTTTTTGGCAATTGACAATGCATCTGAATCATTGCGCTTTTGTAATTTTGGAAATTAATGTTAAGGCTTACGCCAAACAAGTTGCTTACTCCTATGGAAGAAGACAACGTCTATTTACGTTTTAATTTCAGTCATAACCTGGTCAACAACTCTTAACAATAATATACCTATTCGATTACTAGTAATTTCACTGGAATATGTTTATTGTTTTATTGCGCAATATTAGAAAACCAATGGCCATATTAGGCGTAGCGCCATCTCTCGTCAAGATTTCAGAACTTTCAAGATCTGAAAACATTTTATTTTGCAATCAAAACATATGCATATGATTATTTATCAAGAGTATATAGATGGAGATTTCTAATATAAAGGAGTTCTCCCAATATACGTCTTGCTTTATATACCTCATCCTCTTTATCACCACCCAAGGGTGATACCATGTCATTGACCCACTTTCATTAATTAAAGCGGTGTGCAAAAGCATCCAACTAACGAGGTGCGCTCCTCCGCCCCCCCGCCCTAAATCTTTCGTCTATAGTCACGACAATCCGAATCGACGCGCGCTTTGAACGTTGCTGTACATGTTCTACTCCGCTCTAGCAGGGCAACGTAGGAAACGCAATCGTTAGCGCCCTTTCAGGGTGATTCAGATCACGACTGCGCCTGCGATGTCATCTGGCTCCTACGGCGTGCGAGCGTCAGGAAGAAGAGGAACATGAAGATCCAAATCGCAGCCCGATAAACTACTGAAAGAATGGTGAATGAGTTATGAAGTGAAGTGAATGAGAGTATCGACGTCTCGGGTACGCAGCGTCGTGTGGCATGCGAGGAGTGGGATATCACGCCGAAATGGTAATACTTATTCCAGAGTGTTCCCATACTTTAATGTACATTAATGGTCATAATAAAAAAAAAAAAAAAAAAACAAATAAAAAAAGAAAAAAAAAAAAGAAAAAAAAAAAATAAAAAAAAAAAATTATATATACTATATATATATGTCATATATACTGTTTGTGTTTAAATGTCATTAGTTCGGTTAGGGGTTAGCTTCTCCATTAATTAAATCAATGTAATCATTAGGGATATCAAAGTTGACACTCTAATGGAGCGTTATCCTTGCTGGCCTTTGCCTGAAGTTCTGTCACTATTGTGTTTTTACGAGTGTTTGTCTATTTAGTCGTGGAGGGGGGGGTTTGTGTTGCGTGTTGTAGCTGGCCTATATGTTTGTAGCTCGCATCTGTTTAGTTGTAGTTGTTTGGTGGTTTGCTTATGCGAGGGTTTGCACCCCCCCCTTGACTGTTGATTGATGTGTTGCTTTAATTGTAAGGTCTTGCATCTGTTTGTTGTTAGTTTTGCATGGTTTTGTGCTTACGCTGTAGTTTGGTCATCCGTTTGAGTTTGATTGTTTGTGATGCTGCATAGCTGTAGGTTTCATTGTTTTTGCTGGGGATTTATTTATGTTGCGTAAGTTGTAGGATTTTCTATCTGTTTGTTGCCTCTAAATAAAACGTTGCCTATTCTTTTAGCTTTGCAAATTCTGTTTGTTTGCAATTTATATTCTGTTATTATGCTGGAGCATTTTATACTGTTGGCCTGTAAAAGTTGTCTATGCTTAGCATTCGTGAAAAAGCCTTTTTTTTGCCGGTGTGACACTGCGAACCACAGAAGTTGGATCTGGGCAAGTGGCCATTCGCGTCACTGTGCTTGACAATGGTGGCAGACGGAGAATGGGGTGGCATAACAGCCAGCTGTGATGCGCGAAAAACAGCCTGTACCTCAGCGTTGTGGAGCGAGTCATGCCGTGGTCTACACACTGGGAGGTGGGACGGCGGACGAACGAGCATCGTAACTCTCGTTGAGCATCGCTTTGTTGTTAGTATCTTTACAAAGTCAATCGCTTTGTAGAATCGGCATTGGTCGTCGATCTGTTCTCGTCGTTGGCGTCCTGCGTGCCGTGCGTCCCGTAGTTGGTCCGTCAACAGTGGGCACAAATTAAAACGGCTCGACGTACGGACTTCGAAATCGGACGTGGGGGTACTCGAAAACGAGTTGATGTACGAAGTTAGTGGGCCCCCCCTCCCCCCCCTCAAGTAAGTCAGAGTTAAAGAAGGGAATCATTTCCTCTTAAGGAGGGAAGTGCAGATTGCCGGCACAAAATCTAAACGGCTCACGTTAGGGCTTTTTTTTTTTTTTCCCGTTTTGGGGGGGAATAGTTCCGGTGTTGGGCATAGGTAGGAAAACATCACTGTGGCGATAAATGGAGGTTACAGTCAAAGGTGCAATGGCACAAGGGCAGATTTAGACATTTCTGAGGAGCATGGTCAGATCGATCGTTGAAAAACTTTTTGTTTTTAGACGGTGGACTTACTTTTTGTATTGTCTTATTGAAATGAGCAATAAATGTATTTCCGCTGACCTGGAAGAAGTAAAGTTCGGATAACCTTTTAAACCCTCAAAGATGGTAAACATGGATTTTGATTGTACTGTTACAATGATTGAGTGCGGTTCTGCTATAGAATCTATACATTGCCTTGACGTGGCTACATTCACAGTGATTTCAAGCTAACATTTGGTTGAAGTAAGTTTATCTCCTTAAATCGTATAAATTTCTATGACCATACTGTACTGTCGGTGGTGTTACATGTACTGCGCACACTGCCAGTAGCCACTGCAGTGCATGTGGTTTTGATACACTGTGGTAGTTTTGCCTGCTAATTTAGTTACAGGTGCAGCTCTCTATTTTCAGCCTGTACTCTGCGTAGTAAAAGATTGAAGTGTGCTTATGAGTAATTCGTCTGTGCAAAATAGTTTTGCCTTTACTCAGTAAGATGGAGCTCCCCATCTTATCTTGAGACACTTAAACGGTACCAATGATCCTGTGCAACTTTCATCACGATGCCCACAAACATTCTTAGAGAAGTTTACTGAACGCCTCCCTGTGCCTTCCCCCCTTTTCTGTTTTGCGCGTATATGAAAACACATTTTTGGACTACACAGGGTTTACCTTAGATCCACGCAATCAAGCCACACATAGTCTACCCGCAGTAACGTAAGATGAGCGTGCCGTCGGATGTTTAACCCACTCGTGGCTCCTCAACCTGATTATGCTAATTTTAGCTGTCAAGATGTGAAGTGCTGGTTGCAGCCTGAGTGTGAACGGCGATTTGTTGCATTATTTTAAGGACACTTCTAAGTGTGATTTTATGTTAGAGCAACCTTTCTAAGTTCTATCCCCCCGAATTGTTGTCAACAAAAAAACTTGTTTAGCCAGTGTACATACTAGACAAAGTGAAAATGATTGGGCAGGGGACTGGTAGATTGTGTCCAATATAGTACACTCAACATAATAACCATATAATCTATATTATTATATATTATAAGAGAAAGAGAGAGAAAGAAGAGAGAGAGAGAAGAGAGAAGAGAGGAGGATGTAAGGTAAAGGGAGAGCGGATAGAACAGACAAAGGAAAGTGTAGAAGAAGCGAGACGTAGCACGTACATAAAAAGAGAGAGGACCAGATAAGAGATGGATAGGATAGAGAATGAACAATCCTGTGTGTGCTAATTCAGTTCACACGCTGAGCCGTGTTTTTCAGGTGTTTCCTTGGGTTCTACATTGCCGGTGCAGCTACACTCTCCACCTGGCAATCTGTCAACACTTTGGGACAATGATGAGAAGTTTCAGGATCTGTACTTCTCCCAATATCCGGTAGGTTCTGTTTACTAAACGTAGTTCATCTTGTATATTGTTTTTATTACATAAATTAAGTGTGCTGAGTATTAATCGAGTTATGTAAGTGTGTAGTTTACTGTAAAATCATCTATTAATATTACATTGTGACTAGCACAGTTAGTTGATATATAAACGTTTAAGCCAAATAAGTCTGAGAAAATAATGGCAATAGTTATCACTAACATGTGGGCTATGGTTGTAACATACTATTACAATGCAGAGGCTACTAGAATAACAACTGATCAGCAATAGGTACCCAATGGCTATATTTCCGTTATGTCACGTGCTGACGACGTCATCAACGTTGCCGGTCACAGGATTTCAGGAGGGTCACTCGAAGAGGTAAGTGTACGCAATCGTTGTCATAGTCAGATATTGATGCAGATAAGGTCTGTCTCTCTGGGGTTACATGGCCGAACGCCTTGGGTAGCGGTCTGGTATAACCGAACGTACTCATGGCTGGTGATGCTGGTATGGGTCCAGGTAAGCCCGGAAGTACATGTAACTATCTGATATGGTTAGGGTTAGGGTTAGGGAGTATAGGCGAGTGTAGTGGAGTAGGCGAGCTACGGTCCGGCATATTAGATAGTACCAGGGTACGTTCCGGCAGTACCCAGGGAGACATAGACCTTACGGGCGATATTGATGTGTTCTTTCGCGTATATGCAGCTGCTGACGTGATGCTTATCTCGATATCTGTGAGCTGCACAACTTCCTGTAGAAACGCACAGCATGGAACCTTGGTTTTCGAGCTGATTTCAGTGAGTGGTTAATTGTATTTCAGGCCATCTTGGAACACAACGACCTGGTGGAGTGTGCTGTCCTTGGGGTGCCAGACGAGCTGAAGGGCACTGTGCCATTGGGCCTGTTGGTGCTGAAGCACGGTGAGTATTGTCTATCGTCAGAGAGCAACAATGTGAGTTATTGCAAAAATGTTGTTACAACAATGTTATCGAACGATAATTCACTCGATGGTGAGAAATTCACGGGGTAACATTCTCGCTGCAATTTGACGTTGCATGCTCTTTTGTTTTCTACATCTTTGCTGACGTTGCGTGCTATTTGTTTTCTACATCATTGCTGACATTGCTTGCTATTTTGTTTTCTACATCTTTGCTGACATTGCGTGGACAATTCAATGCCAGCTGTGATCGTAATGGCAGAAGTGCATAAATACTCAGAGCAGCAGAACAGCAGCACTAGTAGTAACTTCCTGCCTATTTACCGTTGACAGGTGTTGAAGAATCGGAAGGCTATTCTGAGGAGAAGGTTGTGAATGAGGTTATTCAGGTTGTGAGAGGCCGTATTGGACCTGTGGCTGCGTTCAAGCTTGCAGTTGTTGTTCCAAAACTCCCAAAGACGCGGTCAGGCAAGATAGCACGGTCCACAGTAGTGGCTTTGGCAGAGTCGAAACCATTCAAGGTACAGTGCATGTTCGAATTCGAGTGTAAAATAAATTTCTGATAACGATGCTAGAAATTGAGTATTGTGTGATTATTTTTAAGTAGAAGCCTGAATAGAAATTCCAAATTCAACACGTACAATGGTCATATATTAATCTTTCTTCAATTTTATATCTAATTAATCATCGTAAATTAATGAATGCTTTTGAAGATCATTCAGCCCTGTTTTAACAATAATCGACATTCCTTCAGATTCCTGTGACAATTGAGGATGCTTCAGTCTACCCTGCCATCAGAGACGCTCTTCAGAGAATTGGCTATGCTCAGGATGCTGTCATACCAGAAGTGTAAACCCCTGGAGCACTACGATAAACGAAACACAAGCATACAAGTTGCAGATACAAAATCGCAGATGCTGCAGAAATCTCGTTTTTTTTTAAAACATATTTATCTTCTGAGGGGAATTATGCAAACGGTGGTGAATGCAAATGTACTCGTAATCCTTAACTTAACCAGAAAATCTGCCCTACTCTTTTTTCTAACAACAAAGAAATCAATATATCATAAGAAATTCCTGCTGTCCTAGACTACCTTCACGAGTGCAGTTACCAGAACAGCTGCATGGTTCAAGGGGAGGTTTTTGTTGTGGTAATACTTTGAAAACGACTGTATTTAATGTCATTGTAGGATTGTGCAGTTTAGTGCGCCTTTCATTGCGTTCATCTTCAGAAATTCATTGTTTGATGCGTTTACAATCTAACCTTACCACATATAGTACACATAGCTTTAACTTTTTTCAACATTTTAGTTTTAGACTAGTTTTTGAAACTGAGCCAGTATTGCTGAGAGGGTCTATGGCCCCCAGGGTACTGCCGGAACATACCCTGGGTACCTTGTACTATCTAATATGCCAGACCGTACCTCGCCTACTCCACTAACGAGTCTAGGGAGTCGCCTACGCCTACTCCCTAACCCTAACCATATCAAATAGTTACCAGGGTACGTTCCGGTATACCGGACCGTACCCAGGCTACGTTCCGGCAGTACCCTGGGGGACATAGACCCTATGAGTGCCAGTATTATGTACATGTAGGTTTATATTTTCCTGCTAATGCTAACACAAATCACAACCACCACTGCATATCTTATTTATATTTATATAGCAAAACTTGCTCATTAATATTGTTGCAAAGAAATCATCTTTCAATGATTACCATGAAACATTTTTGATACATCAAGGGAAGTACAATGGACATGTGAATAGTGATCGTGAATATTATTTTGTAGAATTTAAAATTCTGCTCTATTATATTTTAGATGCTAGAGCTAGGTCATGCAGGAATGTACTGTTATATCACCCAGTTGCTTGCCGTCCATCCACCAACTAGCCTTTACTTGAACGTTGAAAGTCTATGATAGAACTAAATATATATAAGGTGCTGTGAAAATTCTGCTGTTTTTGTGATGAAGACATTGATGATGTCCAAATGCAATGTATGCTCCAAGCACTTGTGCGAAACATGTGCTCGGTTTGTCGTTGACAGTTAGATTTCTAATCGGGTTGTGTTTTCTAGAGATTTACTAGGATTTTTCAGATTTATATGATTAACATCACCGATAATGAGAATGTGATTCTATCTGCGATTAAAAACTATCTATTGTGTTTTCAGAGATATATAACTGAGAAATTTTGAATTAATCGATAGTCCTTCATTAGTAGTAACATATTATCAGGAGTGAATAATAATAGATTATTATAATATAGAATATTTTAATGATAGATTGTTAACTCCTGATGTTATTGATTATACATGGACTGTTATTCTTGCAGTGTGGCGAGGAACTTGTGAGCAGTCTTCCCCCCGTTTTCACATTATAAATTCTGTATACATTTGTGTTAACTAGGTTATATGTCAACTGACAAACAGGCTAACGCTCCATTAGGAGTGTTCCCAACTTTGATATCATTAATGATTAATGATTGATAATCCCATCCCCAACCCTAACCCTAACCTAAATGACATTAAACCACAAACTAATATATGACCATGACCATATATATGTTATTATGACCATTATAATGACATTAAAGTTGGGAACACTCCTAATGGAGTATCACCCGACAAAGAAGTCGAAACAGGCAGTGCTCCAGCTGTGATCCGGGAAAGTGGTTATTGACCATATCTTTATGCAAGTATAATAGAAACATTTTGTATTTGTTCTTTGATGGTGCGTTTTTGACACATGTACTGACAATTTATATTATTTCAACATGTTATTGAGATTGCTCTGCGATGAAAAATCCTGTACAGGTGAGGTAATGTTAGTATACTAGTATACAGTTACTATCTATGGCTATAAACTTCTGTTATGTAGAAATTTATATTTCTTTCACAAATTAATTTTTTACTCAATTATATAGCTCCCGGTGATCGTGGTGGTGGATATTAGTTGCGAAATTGCTGACGTAAAACTGTTTTGTACGGTTAGTTAGAATAAACTAACATTATGACTAAAATTGTGAACATATTAAATATGACGTTACTACTACTATTGTAGCAATACAATAAAAAATAAAAATTGATGTACTAACAAAAATGACAGATAACTTGTGTTGCATTATTAGCCGATGCGAACCACTTTATTATCAAACAAGCATATCAGATAAAGAACTCAAGCACCCATACTGTCGGACATAAATTAATTTTCATTTCATTCAGGTTACATGGATCAGAGAACATTTATTAAACGAAAGACACTTACATTACTGTCATAGATTTAGGTTTTTACAAGGATCTCAGGTCAGTTAGGTTTGATCGAGCCTTCAGCTGCAATTATGATTAAGCGTGATACGATTCACAACGTACGTGGTGCCCACAAAAGCCGCAAAATCTTTGTATGGAAACGGAACCGTGAGATGAGCATTCGAGCACATCATTTCATAAGGCTGCCTCCTCGGCTGTGTCCAATCGAGGCAAGCTGCATGCATGCTGCTACTGAGCGAGCGAGCCCATGGGGTCCCACGCCGGTAACACCACAGGTTTCTCTTTGTTCACCTCTAGTATCTCCGTAGGAACAAACTTCTTATCAACGACGACCTCTAGTACAAAGTCGGAGAACCAGTCATCGGACATGATGAGGTAGCCTGCACACGCAAAGACAAAGACAATGTTAAATGGTTCTGTTAGTTAATTTCTGTAAGTTCTGTAAGTTATGTTCACACGGTTTAGCTCAACAGATACGTGAAATCGATTTTGTGTGTGGAATTACGAGAACGTTTGTAGTATATAGTACATTTACATTACCCCATATTACAACTTCTATATTACTACTATTAGCTCTTATTCCATGTCTACTATCGTGTGTGACGCCTATATAAAAACACAAAATGGTTTCAATCACGTTTACCACTCGCTACCATCCCCCAGTGATGACAACTAAGCTGAAAATTAACTTGTCACCTATTTTCATTAAAACAATGTAACCCTGATGGGCAGTGAACTATGCTCAATGCACTACTACTACTGCTACGTCGATCAAGGTGGGCATGATGCTTCCTTCAGTCGGGAACAGCAGATATCACTCCATACTTCACGGTCGCTCATGACTGGCCAGCTCCCTAGTTGTGTCATTGACAGCAAGCTTTTAACAAAAGATTTGATGGGTCTACCGCGTTTAAGGTGACCGTGAGTAGGCTGCCATAGAATGACTTTGTTGGTAGGTAGCTCGGGATGTCTGTAGCAGTGGCCAGCAAGTCGTAGTTGCAAGTCGTTATTGCAGGTCAAGGTATAAAGGTGGATACATCTAACAAACATGCATGGCTACGTACATACCTTTATCTCCAATGTCATCTCCCCAGGAATTTTCTACTCTCCACTTCAGTGTCTTTTCTCCCTGGAATCACACAGAAACCACTCAGCAAGAGTTCCCTGAACCACTAAGAGAATAAGGGATGAAGACGGGGTAGCCAGAAAAATTCACGAGAGCAAACGAAATGGTTAATAAGGCAAAGACTGAAAAAGAAGTTGTGGCCAGCAGTAGGAGAAGATTTGGCACACAATTACATCCGAACAATTGCCTCACCACCTGCACGCACATCAATTTACGGCGACACGTCGCATGCATTTGTAAGAAATTAAGGTCCAGTACCTCCAAATTAACGCCAGTGAAGGTCATTGCATGAGTCATGAACATCTCGCCATAGATGAGCTATATTCGAAAACCAAAATGGCCATCATTTAGGCGTAGCGCCATCTCTCGTCAAGATTTCAGACTTTCAGATCTGAAACATTTATTTTCGCATCAAAACATATGCATATATTATTATCAAGAGTATATAATGGGAGATATGCTATATATAAATGGGAGTTCTCCCATATATACTCTTGCTTTATATACCCCCTCTCCCTCTTCTATCACACCCAAGGTGAGCTACAGTGTCATTGACACTTTCATTAATTAAAAGCGTGTGCAACAGCATCCACACGAGACGAGTAACCTAATCGTTTCGTCCCTATCGTCACGAATCCGAATCGACGCCGCGCGTTTGACGTTGCCGTACATCGATTCACTCCGCTCTGCAGGGCAAGCCCGTAGGAACGCCAGATTCGGGCGCCCTCTTCAGGGTGATTCACGATCACGACTGCGCTGCGATGTTCATTGCTCCTACGGCGCTGCGAGCCGTCAGGAGAGAGGACACGGAGATCCAAATCGGCAGCCGATACACACTGAAGAAGTGAGTGAGTGAGTGAGTGAGTGAGTGAGAGTGATCGACGCGCGCGCGCGGTCGTGGTGCATGCGAGGGCAGTGGGATATCACGCCGAAATGGGGTGATACTCCATTAGGAGTGTTCCCAACTTTAATGTCATTAATGGTCATAATAACATATATATACATATATATATTGGTCATATATTAGTTTGTGGTTTAATGTCATTTAGGTTAGGGTTAGGGTTAGGATTATCAATCATTAATCATTAATCATTAAGGATATCAAAGTTGGGAACACTCTTAATGGAGCGTTAGCATTGGCTGACCTTTTGCTGACCGTTCCTGTCACTATTTCCGTGTGTTTTCCGACGTGTTGTCTATGTCGTAGAGGGGTGGGCGTTCGTTTGTCGTTGCGTGTTGGTACGTTGCCTATATGTTGTAGGCTTCGGCATCTGTTTGTTGTTAGTTGTTGGTGTGTTGCTTATGCTGTAGGGTTTTGCATCTGTATGTTGTTGATTGTTGATGTGTTGCTTACACTGTAGGCTTTGGCATCTGTTTGTTGTTAGTTGTTGCATGGTTTGTTGCTTACGCTGTAGGGTTTTGCATCCGTTTGTTGCTGATTGCTGTGATGCTGCTTAGGCTGTAGAGGTTTCATCTGTTTGTTGCTGATTATTTTTATGTTGCGTATGTTGTAGGATTTTCTTCTGTTTGTTGCTGCTAATTAAAACGTTTCCTATTCTTTAGGCTTTGCAATTCTGTTTGTTGCCAATTTATATTCTGTTATTTATGCTGGAAAGCTTTTATTTGTCTGTTGCTGAAACGTTGTCTATGCTTTAGGCTTCGAAGCCTGTTTGTTGCCGGTGAGCACTGCGACCACGAGACGTTGGACTGGGCCAAGTGGGCATTCCGCGTTCCTGTGCTTGACAACTGGTGGCAGACGGAGACGGGGTGGGCCATAACAGCCAGCTGTGTGGGGCTGAGAAACAGCCTGTACCCTCCGCACGGTGTGAGCGGCATGCCGGTGCCGGGCTACAACGGTGAGGTGGGACGGCGGACGAAGCCGAGAACTAACTCTCGTTGACGCATCGCTTTGTTGTTAGCTCATCTGACAAAGTAATTCAGATGCTTTGCTTGTGTATAAATTTTTCGCGTTTTGTTATGATGAGTGTCGTCCTCCGTCCGTCTGTCCGGTCCGCGTGTCACTTTAACTGTGTAGTCGCAATGTCCGCCGTACAATGTCCGTGTCGTTAAGGGTACCGGGATTTTCTGGCGGAGACGTTTGACGCGTGCGATTCCTGTAGCGGTCCGTCCGTCCGTGGTCCTAAAGGTCAACAGTTGGGGTGCAACTAATTTATAGTCCATCTTAAACACGAAAATTCAGCCATACGACGTACGGCATTTCAAAGAAAAGTCGGGACGTGGCGGCGGGGTAATCGAAAACACGAGTTGGATGATCGAATTTGGGGTCAAAGCCGTCAAAGCAAGAGGTGTAAAAGAAGCCGGAAATTTCCTCCTTAGGAGGAAATGCAGAATTGCGGCACAAATCTAAACGGCGGGTGACCTAGGCCATCGCTGAATAGCCGGGTGTATTAGTCATATTGTAGGAAAGCATCACTGTGCCGAAATTGGCAGTCGCCGTTACAGGTCAGATTAGGTCAATGGGGCACAGGGTTCGACGATTTTAGACATTTCTGAGGACATGTCTCTGACGGATCGATTGAAAAACTTTTTTGTCTTCAGCCGGTGACCTACCTTTTTATGGCTTATTGATAAGGGACCATGAAATGTATTTTTCCTGCTGGACATGTGCGAAGAGTAAGTGCTCGGGATAAACCTTTTGACCTCAAGAGGAGGGTTTAAACATGGATTTGTTTTACTGTTAGAATGATTTGACTGCCCGCGGTTTGCTTAGATAGGAATCTATACATGCCTGGACGTGGTACAATGTCACAGTGAAATTTCAAAAGCCTAAATTTTGGATTGAAGAAGGTTTATGCCCTCCTTAAATGTTAATTATTTCCTATGCGCATTCTGTTTACTGTTCGGTGTCGTTACATGTAACTGCGCCAACTGCCAGTAGCCACTGCCAGTGATGTGGTGGTTGATTACTACTGTGTAGTTTTTTGCCTGCGTTAATTAGTTACAGGTGGCAGCTCTCTATTTCACTGTAGGCTTGCCGTAGGTATAATGGACATGAGTGCCTACCTATTCTGTCTGCCAAATAGTTGTTGCTACTACGTACGATGCTGAGCTTCCATCTTTAATCTTGGACACTTAAACGTACGCAATATCTTGTGGCAACTTTCATTAACGATCCCAACAAACATTCCTATCGATGAAGGTTCCTCGACTACCACCCTGCCTTCCACTGTTTTTCTGGCGCGTTATATGAACAACTTTGGGGCTAACAGGGTTTACTTAGATCCCACACTCCACAACAAGAGTCACCGCAGTAGACGTGAGTGGTTCATGAGCGCGCTGTCGCTCCGCGGCACTGTTATAACTCGTGCTCTTACTGCAGTTCTTGCCCTATATTAGCTGCCATGACTGGTAGACGTGCTGGGGGTATTGCAGCGTTTGAGTCGGTTGTGAACGCGGAGTTTGGTCGCATTTATTTAAAGAGAACGAAACAATATACAAAGATAAGTTATTTTTAGTGTTTGAGCCACTTTTCTAGTTACTCATACTGTTCGAACTCTGTCCCTGTCAGCCACTTAATCTGTTTGCGGAGTGAAATACTCGACAAAGTGGAAATGAGTTGGGGCCAGGGGAGCTGGGTCAGATCTGTGTCAAGTAAGTACACTCACATATATACATATATAATATATATATTTTATTGTATACTAGGTATAGAGAGAGAGAGAGAGAGATGAGTCGAGAGAGAGAGAGAGAGAGAAGAGAGAGAGAGACGCTGACCTAGATGAGAGAGGACGAGAGTGCGCCAATTGAGAGAGAGAGAGTGAGAGCGGTAGGAGACACGACAAAGAGATTTGTAGAGAAGACCTGAAGGAGCAGAGAAGACAGAAGAAAGAGAGAGACAGATATGAGAGAGGGGGAGGAAGAGGAGGATGCCAAGCATGATGCGTGTGTGTGCCTCATGCAGTGTTCACACGCTTATGAGCACGTGTTTTCAAGGAGTTTTTTGTCATGTCTACATATGTTCGTTACAGGGCTAGCACTTCGCCTAGGCAATTTCGTCAACACTTCGTGGGGACAATGATGAGAAGTTTTTCAGTTGATCTGTTTATTTCTCCCATACCCGGTAGGTTCTGTTACTAAACGATAGTCATCTGATCATGTTTTAATACCATAATATAGCTGCTGTTGAGTTTATTCTGTGACAGATCTAGGAATCGAGATTCATGTAAGTGTGTAGTTTACTGTAAAATCATCTATTAATATTATTTTCATGTGACTAGCCACGGAGTGTTTAGTCTTTGATATTGATAACGGTTTTAAGTGCCAAATAAGTCTGAGAAAATAATGGCAATAGTTATCACTACATGTGTGCTATGTGTTAACACTATGATTATCATATGCCAGGGGCCTTACTACGA